CTGGAACGAGTCACGGGTCTCACCACGGAGGAAGCGCACGACCAGTGGAAGCCTCCCCAGAGGCCCATCCCTCAGAGGGGCGTGGAACGCTGCCATGGCAGCCACATACACCTTGAGTGTGGATGGGGAAAGGCCAGCAGAGAAATGGTCCTGGAGGAACTCCAGTACCATTGTCACCGGACAGGTAACTGGGTCCACGCCCGTTCTCTACAGGGAGGGGGACCTGCCATGGCGGGCCCTCGAGGAGCGATATTATGACCGAGAACCACACTCGGGCCGGCCAAAACGGGGCTACCAGCAGTAGGCTGACACCGTCCTGATGGACCCGCTCCAGAAGAAAAGCATACAGGCGCAGCCTTGGCCATGTCTGCACCATGGCATTTCGCATAATAACTCCACCACCTGAGGGTGGAGTCTCCATTCCCCGGGCCTCAGCCCCTGTCTCGGCAGCAGGTCTGCTCAGACAGCTGTCCAGACAGCAGGTCTGGATAGTCTGGACAGCTGACTGACAGCAGTCTCTGACAACTTATTTGAGAAGCAAATAGTGAACTGCATCCTGTATGCAGACTTGCATGTACAAATCACCAGCAGTAAATATTGTCTAGGAATAATATTAAACTACAAGAAGCCAGACACTTGCAAGCCTTTAATTAGAGTTATGTAAAGCTTTTGATGGGACAGTTAAGTCTAGAGAATTAGTGACAGCTCTGTGAAGAGGGGGCTGACGATGGATGGATGGATGGATGGATGCACAGCACCATCTCCAGCTACACACTGTCACTTACACCGCCTTTATGTGTAGAACCAGGGAGTTGTTTGTTCATAGTCCGTTACCAACCTTAAAACATAAGAAAAGTGCATTTGCAAACAGGATTTATGTGAGAGCAGCTCCTCTGCTGCAAGCAACAGCTCTTCTATTTTCACTTTTGTTTCATCTCACTAATGCAAACTGAAACTTTTTAGTTGATATTAATGTACCAAATGTTTCATGTTCTATGTAAAACTGATAGTATGTGGTTTTGTTTATTTTATGTAAATAGGACAGTTACCACTACAGCTGAACACTGAAAACTATACACTGAAGTTATGCACTGAATTTATTTAATAAATGGAGTCATTCATTTAGCAGAGTTTGTAAGGACATTTTAAGTTAACCAAATATACAAGCCACTGTATCACTGTTACAAGTTGTGATACTGATATAGTGGTAAATTTGATAATTTGATTGTATAAGAGAATGTTTGTGAAAGCTAAACTAATTGAACATTCCAAATCCTTTTAATACCTCTCTCCCATCAATTTCACCTGGCAACATACATATATTAATATATACACCTCTCCAAATCATTGAATTCAGAGGTGTCTATGACCACAGGTGTATATAATCAAGTACATGCAGACTGCATCTACAAACATTTGTGAAAGAATGGGTGAATTCAAGCTTGGTACCGGGATAGGTTGCCCCCTGTGCAATAAGTGCATTTGGGAAATTTCCTCACTATTAAAGATTCCACAGTCACAGTTTTATTATGACAAAGTGGATGCGGTTGGGAACAAGAGACACCAGCCAAAAAGTGGTAGGCCACATAAAATCACAGAGCGGGGTCAGTGCATGCTGAGGCGCAGAGTGTGCAGAAGTCTACAGACCTCCAAACATCGTGTGGCCTTCAGATTAGCTCAAAAACAGTGCGTAGAGAGCTTCATGGAATGGGTTTCCATGGCCTAGCAGCTATATCCAAACCTTACATCAACAAGTGCAATGCAAAGTGATGGAAGCAGTGGTGTAAATCACGGTGCCACTGGACACTAGAGCAGTGAAGACGTGTTCTCTGGAGTGACGAATCACGCTTCTCTGTCTGGCAATCAGATAGACGAGTCTGGGATGAATTACAGCAGAGACAGGCCTTCTTGTCCAATACCTGTGCCTGACTTCACAAAAGCGCTTCTATAAGAATGGTTAAAAATTCCCATGAACACACTCCTAATCCTTGTAGACAGTCTTCCCAGAAGAGTTGAAGCTGTTATAGCTGCAAAGGGTGGGCCAACTCCATATTAAAACCGACAGATTAAGAATGTGATGTCAATAACCTTCATGTGCATGTAGGCAAGCGACCCAAAACCTTTGGCATATAGTGTTTGTTTTGAGTGTAGATTAACTTCATATTTTTTTATCAAACGATTTTAGCATCAGGCTACAAATGTGAAAAAAGTGAAAGAGGTCTGAATGCACTGTACATACCTATGACCTAATAGTTTTAGTTATTTACTGTTACTTTGTAGTTCAGGTCAGTGCTGAAAAGTGAAAATGTTCCAGGCTAGGTAAGGCATAAATGGCACAAATTAACCAGATGGGTGGTCACTTGTGTTCCAGTGAAACTCTGTTCAAATCTACTGCCCCAACCCCACAGCCCGAGAAGCAATTCAAAGTGAAATGCTATTTTCAGAAATCTTTATTTATTTGCCACAAATAAAAGGAATATCAGTTAATGGAAAAATAACTTTACAGCAAACAGTTAGTCCAGATAATACTTTAAAAGGAAAATAAATGTAGTTAATGACCTTAAATGAATGCCTTGTGACTTAAATGGCATCTGCAATTAAGCATACATTTCTGAAAGGTTTACGTCACACAGCTAAATAAATGTTACGGTCAAACTAAATCGACACAAACTGACATAGATGACAATGTATAATGTTGACTAAATATCACATTATTAAAAACAACATTAACATGACTGAGGACATTGGCTACATAATGGCTTGAAAAATTGCCTTATGATGCTGAAGTTCACAAAGTTTGTTAAATGTGTAACTCGTGAGGAGAATATATGTTAGATGTACATTAACATCCAGAAGAACATCTCTCCTAAGGCAGGTGCGTAGGAAAAGGGCGAGTGTATAAAAAGTTGCAAATAGACTCCTGCACAGTGTGTAAATTGCAATAATAAATTTATTTGCAGGGTTTGGTGCTAGATGAGTCTAGCGAACAATCAGTAAGAAAATGTTTACAAAAAAAGATATAAAATATTAATTCACCATAGAGATGCACCGAAATGAAAACATTTGCTAAATACCGAATACCGAACACTGAACAAGTACATTCACATTTTTGCCTTTTTGTTTTTTACCACTGCATAAATTAAATAGTCAAAACGTGCTTTTTACTTAGTGTTTCCCACAGGATTGGAGATTCTATGGTGGGTGGGTCCGAAGTTCAAGAGGGTCGCTTTTTTAATGGACACATGTAATATGTTTTATACTTTCTCTGAATATCATCCAATTTTCATACTGTACAGACACCTTATTTTGAACGCCGGACGTTGTCACATGTGTATCCTCGTGCTAAATTCATCAAGTCCGACCCAATATGATACATTTTGTGGTTCTCGTATCGCGTAACATGGCCTCTCTTCAGGAAGGACTCTCATACTGCAATACTTGTCTTTTAAAGAAGAGAGAAAATGACAGGATAAAGTTGCTGACCCTTGTCAGCTCGCTCTGGTTCGTTTCAGTTACCATAAAGGCTCGAATATGTGTGCACTCCAAATTTAGGTGCGGCTAGCCTAACCGCCTTCTCAGAAACAAGTGACAGAAACACTCAAAGGGGTCAGACCGTTTTGTTGCCTTTTCTAAGAAGTCAGCCACAGATGGAGTGGAATAGGAGACAATTTAGCAAACGATGTCTGCAAACGGCGATTTTTGTATCTTTCTCTGACACTTGAAAATGCTTCCACACTGCTGACATGTCAACGTAATTGTTCGGTAAAATTTAATCGGTGATTTGACTTACCGAATACCGAAAGTGCTATTTTTGCTATTTTCGGGCAATTAATTTAGGTGGCCGAACATTTGGT